CATACCTTCATACTGTAGTTCGAATTTAATTAAGTTCTTCTTCAGGGCTCCTAGAGCCCTAATTAGAAAAATAATTAAAGAAATAAATTTCTCCTTCCAAAATACAGGGGTGAAACCCAAATATCACAAAATTCCATTTGTAGAAAATGTATCTGTTAAACTTAGAATACTACTCAGTACCGAAGAAATAAAAGTGGCCTTTTCGAATGAAAATACAGTTGGAAAGCATTTTTTCTCGAAAGAAAAAACTAAAACACCATAAGACATACAATCCAATATTGTTGTCGTTCGTATGGGGGCGACAGCTGATTAATGGAAAAACAGATTTTGAACAGATTGTGTACAAATTGAACTGTTGAAGCTGTCACAAATGCTATGTTGGTCAAACCGGATGGTATCTTAAAACCCGAGTTTCAGAACACATGAGAGACTTTAAGAAACTGAAGATAAAAAACCCCACAGCTCTCGTTGAACATTAAAAAAATAGGAACATTTTTTATTTTGATCCTCCAACTAGATGTTTAACCATATTTATCCAAAAGACTTTTGAGCGAAATGATACATATCCTCAAATGCGATATATTTCAATTTAATACTTTTTTCATTCTTTATCTTCCTGACATTGATTAAAATCACAGATGAAGCCATTCGTTTGTTTCATGTCGTTTTGTGTTGGTGTTGTCCCGGAAATTTGTTGTTGCAATGTTTTTTATTTTTATTTTTTAAATATGTATCTAATATGTCTGATGGTTTTCAAAATATTAATATCATCAACACAAAAAACTACTTCTCGGTGAGTAATTTAATTAAGAACTCATTTACACCATAAATTGTAAAAGACCCATCTTGAACTTTCATATCTAGTTGTTCAAATGGGGAATTTCCAGCTTTACCACAACTAAATGGTAAACAGTTAGTTTTCTCTAAGTTAATTGTTGATAGTTTGCTGTAAAACCAGTTTCTTTGAATCCTGAAATCATTTTCAACTTTATGTTTCAACTCAAACCATGTTTCTGCTTCTTTATCGCCATATCCTATAGCGGTTCTTTGGGAATCGAATGAAAATAATTCATTGACATACGAATTGAATAAAAGAGGGGGCCCAATACAGTTCCCTGAGGTATGCCATATTTAGTCTCTCTCAAATCACTCATTGTTTCACCTCCTGCCTTCTATTTTGTAGGGGATGTGTGTGTAATTCTCTACTATATTGATGATGAAGACGAATAACAAAACATCCATAGGAAATGAAATATTAAAAAAAATGCAAAAATCGATCTATGTCACCTTTGACCTTAGATTGTAACAGTCGCGTACACCCTGCCATATGTAGGTTTTATACGGTTGATAAATANTGTGTACTGTTCAGAACATTTTTCAAAAAATTAAGTCTGTTTATCAAAGATAGATAAGTATAACTCGAAATAATTCATTTTTCAGAAGACCTGAATATATATTTCACAGAATAACATCTTCCTAAAAAAATGGCCTGCACCATTATTCTATGAAGTTGAATCATTACCAAGATGCAAGTTTTTGTTTGTTAAATGTTCAAAATGCAGACTTTTGGAGGTATGCCTTGTATTCATTGTTGATTTTCATTTATCACTTTACTTCAATAAGATTGTATAAATGAAAATTCAATTTTCATTATAAGGAATATTAAATGAAAAATGAAAGTTGGTGAATTCAATTTTTAAATCTAAACTATTCCTGCTTATTTTTGGTAAAAAATATTAAGCTGATCAAAAAAATTCTATGAATAAGGAACTATAAACAAAAATGTACTTTGAATTTTTTTTGAAATGTGTATTGAATTTCAAGAATGTCAATCAGGACACTTTTTATAAATTCAGTTGTCTTTTGATATTTCCGTAAAGTTAACTATCTCCTTTAGTAGTTATTCATTAATAAGTAATACCTGGATAAAATTGATTTCTGCTGAATTGAAAATATTGACAGTGTAGAAAGACATCTTTAAAACATCTTTTTTTAACTACACATGAAAATATTCGAAATTCACAGCTAAAAATTGTTTCAAGGCACAAGAAAATTAAAATTCCATTAAGGGCTTGTTGATTTTTGAACACATTCATTTTGTCATCATGGCAGATTCCATCTAACTTGGGTATAGAAAAAGTTATTTAATTGGTAGATTATAGGGTCATGCAGTAAATTCAAAAATTCTATACTGAACAAGTCTTGAACAAAGTCTAAAGAACCGTTCATAAATTTGACAAAAAATTGTATCTTTTTTTAAGTGAAATTCTTTCACACTTATTCTGAAGTGAAGCTGATAATGAAAGTAGCACTTTATGTAAATACTTTTTGTAAAATTCAATTGTTATTGTGTGTGTGTGAATGTTGCATGTAGCCTAATACACAGGGCGCTTAATTTTAATAGGAACAAATTACCTAAATAAAAAAATCGATTGTGTATTGATCTCCTAGGGGGCGAGATGTTTCGGTTTTTTATTTTTTATCGATTATTGAGTGATTGAAATGACTGATTATTTATTTATTTACTGAGGAACGTGTGCATGTGTGTGTATATTTTACAGAGTACTATATTTTTTTTTATCGGTAGGTTAATGATAATTTCTGTATCAATCTCTGAAGATGCAGTTCTTCCAATTTTCTTGAACCATTTGCATTTCATATATTTCATACCAAAAAGTCGTAAACCACCATATCCTTAAATATTCGGAAGGCTTCAACATCTTGAGCGATCATCAATATGGCTTTCGAAAACAAGATCGACAGACGACCAACAAGATCGACAGGCGTATGTCACCCATATTTGGAATAACGTAATTGAGAAACATTGAGAGTCGAAAGCTGTTGCGCTTGATATTTCTAAGGTCTTTTGACCGTGTGGCAAGAGGATTTGCTGGTCAAACTTCGATGCTAAGCTATATAGCATACTATTAGCTATTGGTCCATCATCGTTATTCATAATATTATGTTTACTTATTTCTACACAACAGTTAACAAGTTAACAACAACAGGCATCAAGATGTCTGTTCTTTTTAAAAGTCAAGATTTCGTTCATTCTTGACCTAAACTTTTTCTTCCTTATTATATCATCTACAATACTCCTCGAGAAACCGTTACTGACTGTTATTTCCTGTATTGCCCGTTTTTTTTGTGATATTATCATGTCTTAGAGGAAAAGTTAAAAGACGATGGTTTTTAAAACAAGTCATACACTACAGAGCCTTTTCGGAAATCCAAAAAACAAAGTCAAGAATTCGGAAAACTAAATAAGGACTGCGATGCAAAATATTATGGACAGACATAGACTTCAGTTCATTAAGATTGGTTAGACAAGTTAACAACAACAGGCATCTAGAAACCTATGAGAGTGTGAAAATAAGTGAACATAATAATATTATGAATAACGATGGTGGACCGATACCCAATAGTATCCTATATAGCTGGTTAAAATAATTATCAGATTTACCTGACTATTACATAAGGACACATTGTGAAATTAATTCAAGACTAGTAGATAAGCCAACGGTAATGGGCCATACTTATATGATTCAGATAAAAAAAGAATACATGAAGAAGCTTCACATTA